TCTGTCCTGGCACCTCATGTCTGGAACCACCAAGACTCGCGCACTGTCTGAACGCGCCACATTCAACACAATTGTCGACCCGGCAGCTCCCTTCTTTTCTTCTGCAACGCGGAGCAGGGAGCTGGCACTGACTTTCATGAGAAGCACTCTTCCCATTTACTTTGGTCAAACTTGCAAGTTCAATGGCCGTGATACTCATACACACCAGCAGTGAATGAGCAGCGCTCAAATCCCACTGGCCCACTACACACCGCGGGATGGAATAGCCACACGCTGTAAGTAACCCTAATCCCACCCAGCCCCAACAGCGGAATGATGCTACTGCCACTGAGGCGGGGTCGGCACCTCCCGTTCTGCACTCAGGCGAAAACTGTTTCCCTCAGGGTTGGGGGGATGGGGGGGAAGCCGTTTTAGATCTCTTGCGGCGATACGAACGCATGTTCACAAGTCTACATAGAGATGTGTGAGAGTAGTTGGTTAGAATGTTTTTATGTCCACCACCCCTGCCCTATGAGCACAAGACACCAAAAAATGTTCAACGCAACTGTCGACTCCGCAGCCCTTCTCTTCTTCTGCGATGCGGAGCAGGGGATCTGGCTCTGTGACTTTCATGAGAAGCACTCTTCTCATTTACGTTGGTCAAGCTTCCAGGTTCATTGGAGGTGAAATGCACACACCGGCAGTGAATGAGCAACACTCAAATCCCAAAGCACTAATGCTATATAGAAGAATGCGATAACATGAAAGAGCACTCAGAATGGCAATGACCACAACAAAAAGACTAGGACTGGCCACCGCGGCTCGCAGCCCGTCTCACGACATCCGATCACTCCAGTTAGCAGAACTGGGGGCAATTTGCGCCAGGCGATCAAGTTCGTCATGTTCAGAGCGACCTCGAACCAAGGCCATGAGCGCAGCGATATTGTCTATCCACCAGACAATCCCTGAACAAATTGGGGCAAGGTCAACACCCTGCACCACAGCTCTGACACGAGCGTGGTCATAACTACTTACGAGGAATCCAGCCTTGCCTTGCTGTAGTTGGTCCTGCGACGCACATTCGTGACCACAGGCCTCGACTGGCACTAAGCAAAAACCGGACAAGTCGACGAGGCTTAATCCAAAATGGCTTCAGCCAAGTCGAGCACTGATTCCAGCCCTTGGGTAAGGGCATTCAAGCCAGCACGGGCAACGCGACCGAAAGCATTCTGATCCAGAAAGTTCCCGGGGGTAACCAAGCTTCTCATCTGCGGAAAGGGTACCAAGGAGGGCACAGGCTTGCTGGACGCTGACATTTGGCTGCAGCAGGATGCGGCGCAGGTCAGTGGACTTTGCGCGATGGTAACGCCACGCCCTCTTGTTGCCCTCTTGTTGCCCTTGTGCTCAGCGGTGTCCAACAAGACGCCTCGATGGCATCCAACTTAGTGACACCCACTTGACTCCAACTTTTCGCCGGCGCAAGGGCCAGATCATCTCAAATCAGCAAATGCGAGAAGCACTGCTGGACCTTTGAGCCTGGGAAACTTTACCAGGAATGCTCGCGTGGTCAAAGGGCAGGGACACGATTTCGAAAAGGAAGGCGCAAGTCGCGGTGAAGGGTTGAATGGTGGAGCACCTGCTGAGCACCCGATGGACGCACCACCAGCAGAACCAACGCCTTCAGCGAAGGAGTCTGGGCAGCAGTGACCACGCGCACGTCGCAACTTGACCCTTCACCAACTCTAGCTCGACACGAGCCAGGCGTGGGCCACCTCAAGCCCACCCTGCCCCGGCAAAGTAGAAGGCGAAGTCGGCATCCAGGGCCAGACCTCGCTCGTCACGCCATGACTGCACGGACATGGGCAAAAAAATGACCCTGGCAACTCCAGGAAAAAGTTTCTCCTGAAGCCCTTTGGATCTCTTGAGCATAGCGGCAGCGGCGGTCCGAATACATGTTCACAAGTTCACACAGACATGCGTCAGACTGTGACTAGTTGCTTCGTAGGACATTGGGGTACTCAAACCAACACCACAACAGAGAAACCCACACTCTGCTGATGTCAAATGAATATACTTGGTCACTGCCATGGTGGTCTTCTGATGGGGCCAGCTGGTGCCTGGTGCCTCCTCCGCCGATGGACTTAATTGCGCAGATCTCGGGGCATCAAACATACCGAGCACTGAGGCAAATTCTATGCGCTCCCCCCTAAGAGCGATGGCCTCCAACCTAAGGGCGATGGCCTCCAACCTACTAGCGATGGCATCCTAATAGCGATGGCCTCCAACCCAATAGCGATGGCCCCCAATCTAATAGCGATGGCCTCCTAATAGCGATGGCTTCCAACTTGAGAGCGATGGCCTTCAACCTAAGAGCGATGGCCCATCCTAATGGCGATGGCCTCCAACCCAATAGCGATGGCCCAAAATCTAATTGCGATGGCCTCGTAATAGCGACGGCTTCCAACTTGAGAGCGATGGCCTTCAACCTAAGAGCGATGGCCTGAAACCTAATAGCGATGGCCTCCAACTTAAGAGCGATGGCAATGGCCTCCAACCTAAGAGCAATGGCCTGAAACCTAATGGCGATGGC